CGTCCAAAATAAATTCTGATTCAATAGTAAAGTAAATTGATGGAAATCAACCTCACTCTTTTTTATTTCATAGACCTAAGCTAATCCTGTGGTGTCTTATGTCGCTCTTTGAATTAGGAATTCGCAAGTTGAATATCTTAAGAACTAAACAAAATAAACAAGATCAAAAAAGAAAAAGATATTCTTTAATTATTTAAAGTTGTATTAGATTCAGGAACTTCCAAAGATTTTTTTCGAATGGTTTCTATTGTTTGTCATTTACAGTTTCTTAGGCACGTACTCCTAAAACCTGCATTGTACCTGAATTATAAATCAAGTTAACTCTTCAGTTAGGATCGACTTTAATACTAAACTTTTATTAATTAGAAGAAAATCTGTAGGAACGTTCAACACTCGGTTAAGAATACTATGTACGCACTGAAATAGACGAAGGAATGAAATAGCCGCAAGAAAGGAAAAAAGTAGCACACAACTTGAGAAAAATAGAATGCTTCGAGCATCCGGAGTACAAGAAACGACATTTAATTTATTCATTCCATAATAGTGAGCACAAGCGATACTGTCGACAGCACTTTCGTTCACAAAGAATAGATTCAGAATACACGCGGTTGTATAAGAAATGTCCGATAATTTGCAAACGAGCGGACCTCGCGTGATACATCAAACCGATGGTTGTCCGAGCACATCTTTTTTGGGAATAATCTCAGATAGCACAGTCAATTCCGAGAAGATTATCCCGGCGCCAAAGATACCGCGGTTTAATTTTAGACTTTCTGTGGGAATGTTAATAAATTTCATGCTACAAAGAAAACGCGAAACGCAATACTCGTGGCACGTGTAAGTGCCAACAGCCAAGGACCCGATTTCTTCTTTTTTATTTTCTTTTCGTTTTTTATTCGTCGCCTCGTTCGGTTCTGATAAGAGAACCACTTCAGCTTTTCCGTGCGTGTTAGAGGCAGAGACAAAGCTCGCGTCCTTGCGCAGATTGAACATTGAACTCCAACGACGGCGACGACGGCGACGACGACGACGACGACAACGACGACGACGACGGTGGCAACGACAACAACGACAACAACGACGACGAACGTGAACCGGGATCATCATCTTTTCATACAACGATCGTGAATCATCGACCGGTCGAGACTCAACGGCACATGAAAAAGCATCTTTAATCGCGACAGGTTGGAACACGTGTACGAAGCTACTCGATGAACCCCCAAAAACAACAACATACTATGTAATTTCATTTTAATCGCGTCTACGTTCAACGAAAATTACTATACATCGTACTTGGCCGTGTCACCAACGACAAAAAAATCCACGGTGACATACGAATCGATATCGGAGGACCAGAAATTTACGACAACACACACGCGAGAAAACATGTTTGTTCGTGTCGAAGTTCGCGAGAGTGAATCAACACGATCGGTTATTTTGTTTGTTCGTTGCGATATTGTGCTTCCGAGTCGAGTATTATCGCTCCCTTGCGTCGAATCAACGTCCACGATTTCACTGAATAACGCGTCACGCGCGAAACGAGCGAAAACGATTCTGACGGTCATTGAATCGGAGGGACGTTGGAATCAAAAGGCGGCAAGATCGAGGAAGCATTGAGGAAAACCGTGATCGGGGACTCTTGCGCTGAAAGACGTAGGAGGAATGTTAGGAATACGAGAACGATTTTAACTTATCGAATCTCGCGTCGCACCATCGACCCCGCCGACCCTTAAAACCCGATAAAACGACCGGCTTCTGTTCGAGCGTCGAATGCGCTCGCACGTTATCAAAACGCTTTATCCGGTGGTCTTGTAAAGCAGACGGTCTTTAGGGATGCTGCGATAGCTTCAAACTTGATACATCGTTTTCCAAGGAAAGGGTTTCCTCTGAAAATCAAACTCTTTCGGAGTTCTTCCGTTAATCTATGAGAATTTTTATTTCGATGAGAGTATTTCAACGAGAAATACGTAGAAACTTGTTCATATATCATTGTTATGAGAAAAAGGGGAATTGAAATCTTCTTTTCTAGATATCAATAATTTTTAACTTCGTTGCCAATGATCTTTTACGTATTTATCATCTTAAACGAGAAGCCTTGAGGCTATCATTCTCGTAAAACATTTAGTGAACCCATTTGACCTTAACTCATAATTAGATTCAGTCATTATTGAAGTCATAGAAAAGAGGTTTTCGAAATTCCGTTTGGTAGATACTTCGGTACTTAAACTGCGGTGTCTTCCAGTTAATTCTGATAACGACGTCGTGTCGTGTCAACTCAGTTTGAAGGAAAAAGAAAAGGAAGAAACTACCAGCACCCGGTCCCAACGGATCCATGAAGACCATAGAGATCGGCCTGAATTATGCATGCATTGCAGAACAAAGATCCGATCAGAATTCGATGGCATCTCGTGTATAATGCGAGATCAGTATCGCCTCTTATCGGAGATACCGCTCGTACTAGTACTCGTAATGTCATCACCCGACTACTCACGTCGAACCACGACAATAAACGAAAAAAGGAAAGGAGAATGAAACGAGATGATAATCGGACCTGACGTAACATTGCAACAATCATTTTGGGTTACCGTGTCAGTAGACCCGGATACTGATATTCAGTTTATGCTGTGAGAAAAGCTCAAGCTTAATCATTAAAAGGAAAAAATTTAATCGCACTTTCCCACGACTATCGCCTACTTTCTGACGTCAAGAATTGATAGATTACTATTTGAGTTATTAAACCTTTTACTGCAATTTCTTACTGACTTAACTTCTGGTCACCTTCCTTGAATACTGTACAGCAGATAAAAAGATAAAGTTTCCATCTAATCTTGTTCTTGTTTAACTACAGAAGTTTACTTATTTGATCACTATTTCATGTTCAATTCTTTGAACTTCTACCGAGCTTTTATTATCTGAACACCTAAAAAGGTGATCCAAACACGAGCCCCAACTATGTGGATAAAAACTAGGTATTTCAATAGATTCAGATAAATGAACATATCACTGTACTTAAAAAATTTCCTGACGAGTACAGAAGTTATTACGATTTCGTAACGAGACGTAACCTGTGGAAAGCATCCGGAGGCTATACACGCTCGGTCTCCTGATGCGTTCGCCGTTCGGAAAAGGGATCGTTCAATGACGATAACGGGTGCTAGAGAGGAGCGAAGAAATGTTATCGTTATCGGTGTTCCGTGGCGGGCAAACATCGACCGCTTTACGAAGAGGATCGCGAAAGAAAATATGCAATTATTATTATCGTTATTTCGGGATAACGTCGCGCGTCTTATGGGTGGTGCGATCCCGGGACCGACCAATCGCCGCGCACCGTATAGTGCCTTACCCCCTTACACGTGACCCTTTCTTCACAGCTACTACGTCATATTGATGACCCCGCAAGAAGCAAAACAATGCGCGATGGTGATATTCAAGCAATGCCTTGCTCCGAAACACCGAGATCGTGTTTTCTGCTCCACGCCGGTATCAAAATGTGACGGGCCCTCGCTTTTGATTATCTTACCACTATAAATCACGCGATACATGGACCGTGGAGTACGCCTCCACGTGGAACGATACGTCAACTAGGTTTGGACCAGCGTACAGAGAGGCCAAAAGTACCGAACTTTCTTTCTCTCCTCTGTTCCTCCGCGCTTGTGTCCTTTTATCGCCATTGATACCAACAATCAGACACCACAATAATAAACAGTTCGGCAAGATTTAAAATTGTTGTAAACGTCGCGGGATAGATAACTTTCGAATGAATATGTATTATGTATTACAGGCTGAATGGGTACGCGATACAGAGGAGTATAAAATACACTGTGGTCTCTACTGGCAGTGATCTTTTATCGAGGAAACATTGTAATTCCTGAAATGAAGGGGTTAAACTTTTAGAGAAATTTTATGGTTCTATTAAGTAGGCGGTGGGATGTTGATGGTATTACTGAAAGTTAAAGTGACTGCTGCGACTAAATTGTATATTTTATGAAGTGTGCGAGATATGTGCGACTCTAATGTTCTTAACATTCATGGAATGAAACTGAAAGAAATTATTTTTAATTTTTTATTCTGAAATTAACATCAAAATCATGTCCACGATAAATTTCAGTGTATCAATATTTCAATATTTCAGCATTTCAATATATTAGTTTTTCAATATTTTACTATTTCAGTATTCCAATATTTCAATATTTCATAATACAATGTACAATATTTATTGAAATATTAAAATTATATTCATATACGTAATATTTGTAACATTAGAAGGAAATAATATCATAGATTGTTAAAATATGTAGTCATTATAATACAATAAAATGTCGATTTGCTAAGGTTTAATGTTAAATGGGTTTATAAATAAAATGTTTTACAAATATTTTTAAAAGTTTCATTTATTATGTTCCCATGGTGTGACTCATTATTTTCTCAAAAAGTAGTGAGATTTCTGTTTCGAATCAGCTCCCTATGATATTAATGCACATCTCGCACCATCAAACGGTAGCATCTGCAACGAATTCTGAAAATGTCCATTGATATATCATCAACGGTCGATAAAAAAGTTTAAACTTATACCAACAACGAAAGATAAGATAGAATTCTTCCTAAAATTTTAAATTTTATCTTCGATATTGTTAGAAATTATTCTCGTAGACATTTTCCCAATATAAAATAAAGTTGCAGATAAAATAATAGTCTAATCGTAACATAAAACTTTCCGAAATTATAGAAAGTGAAACTAAAATAACAAAAGATTTGTTTACAAAATTTACTCTTAAGGGATCTGTGTACAAAGCTTTATCCCTATCAGATTTGTAAAATTTTCAGAAATACAGCCTAGAATGACCTATAAAACAAGTTGTATTTTAGGGATTTGAAAAGTGTCCGCCATATTCAGCAATAGATTGATCACTATAACTACTTGCGAGAAAATCAGCCCTCTGGTAATGGCTTGAAAAACATTATTTCAATATAACGCCGAATGCGCCCACTATCACGAACATACTGAATTAACAAGATGACAAGCATTCGGTAGTAGAGATTATTACAAAAATGGCGCTCGCTGAAGTTTGCGGTCTCAATTCTTATGTTGATTTTAATACAAAACGTGAAGGAAATTTCTTTTCGGGGGAAATCGAAGCTTGTACCAGGAATTTTATTAACAATGCACAGCTAGCTGTACCACCATACATAAATGTAAGTTGATTAACCAAAACATTAATTTTACATTTCTTCCGTAACTACATTTAAATTTGCACCATCATGTGGTTATTGCTTGTAAATAACATACTATACTATATATTTTTAAATATATGTTAGAATAGTTTTGTAATTTATAAAATTTCTTTACAAATTAGAAATCTCTTTTCGAATATATAAATCAATAGAATTTAAAACTGTGCATAAAGGTTAGAAGTTGACATGCAGAATTTGAATCAATTCTTAAGTACTGTACTTTATGTATAGCCAGCTGAAAAATTAGCCCGCCTTGCAGAAGGAACTGATGAAACTGGGAAACATCTAAAAATTAAGTTTGATCATGGAACTACTACATTGGGTTTCCAATATAAAGGTGGCATTATTCTTGCTGTTGATTCCCGTGCAACAGGAGGACAGTTCATTGGTATATAATAAAAATATATATAAACATTTAAAATTTATGAAAATATTCTACGAAACCTCTTTTTTTAGGTTCATCCAGCATGAAGAAGATAGTAGAGATTAATAATTATCTTCTTGGAACATTGGCTGGTGGTGCTGCTGATTGTGTTTATTGGGACCGTGTATTAGCAAAGGAATGTCGTATGTACGAATTAAGAAACAGAGAACGTATTTCTATTGCAGCTGCTAGTAAGCTTCTGTCTAATATGGTATATAATTATAAAGGAATGGGTTTAAGTATGGGTAAGTTTGTCTTTTAAAATTAACAATATTTTATGCTTCATAGATAGTTAACAATGCCTTTATTCTTAGGTATGATGCTGGCTGGTTGGGACAAAAGAGGACCTGGCCTATATTATGTTGATTCAGAAGGTACTCGTACTCCAGGAAAGGTTTTCAGTGTAGGATCTGGATCAATCTATGCATTTGGTACACTTGATACTGGATACCACTGGGATCTATCTGACGAAGAAGCTTATGATCTTGGCAGAAGGTCCATTTATCATGCCACTCACAGAGATGCTTACTCTGGTGGTATTGTACGAGGTATGTATTGATAATACTAAAATACAAATATGATACATAGTAAGACAAATTTTTTTTTGCAGTCTATCACATGAAATCAACAGGCTGGGTTCACATTTCTGATGAAGACTGCAAAGATCTTCACTACATGTACCAAGAAGAAAAACAAAAGAAAGCTACTGAATAGAAATTTCGAATTATTATATTCTGATAAATGTTTCTTTAATAAAATTAATTTCTAAAAATAAAAATGTTTAATGTTTTTATGTTTGTACATTCGTTAACAATCCCTTTTTAATTCCTTAGAATGAACACTTCGATCGTTATCAATGATATTTTTTACGTTACGTTTTAAACGTATACAAAAATACAAAATTAAATATTGCACAATATTGAGAAATTTACACTATAGAAAAGATAAAGCGAAAGAAACGTGCTTAAATGCCTCCCCACTGCTATCATCACTACGGGTACATATTACAGCGCCGGCCGCCATCGAATCAGTGATTGGTGTCGCAGTGCAACAAGCGAAACGTATTGTTCCTTAGAGCAACGCAAGTGTATTCTTATTTTCACCTATTAATTGGTGTACAAATGTCGAGTCCTGACGAATGCAAACTCAAGGGTGGACACCCTCCTGCAGGTAACAAATTAAATCGTAATTTTCTTTACAAGAAAAGAAAAAGGTTAAATATGTTTACACGATTCATGCAATGACGTAGCTCTACACCTGCTGGAAATTTCAAGGCCAACTAATCGTTAAACTTCTTTATTATAAAATATATATATTCTTTTATTTTTCTGCTACAGTAAAAGCAGGTGGAATGAGAATTACCCAACATAAATCACCGAAAGAGGATCGTGAAATAAAGCCGATCAAGGATGCAGATGAAAGTAAACCATCGAGTAGGTAAGTGCATGTACCTGATGTATACGATAAAGATAAATATGCGGCTCAACCCAAAAGCAATAAAAAGCTTGCAATTAACATATAAATAAACATATTGCTTATTGGATTGAATAATGAACACTGAAATGTGATAAAAATTCGAATTG